ATCACTGCTAACCACTGAGTCATCCCTCCAGCCCCTGCTTAGCATTCTTTTTAGTTGAGAGGGAATCTGAATGTAGTGGTACATGCTTCTAATCCTACCACTTGAAGGCGAAGGTAGGTTGGCCACATAGTGAGTTGGGGGCCATCCTGGGCTACATGAGACTGTGTTTCAAAATGAACCACACAAAGTTGAGGAGTCTGGGAATGGTGGGGCAGTGGTGGCTAGAGAGGCAGGACTACAGAAGGAAAGAGACTGGGAGCTGATACACAGGCTTAGAGCCTGGCATCAATGTAAGTTAGACGACTTACTGCAGGCAACCGGAGAGAAGCAGGAGAGAGGCTGAGATGTTGGAAGAGCTAAAGGGGTGGGGCTGGGGAGGTGATGCAGTGAGGACCAGGGTGCAGAGATCTCAGAATCCATGTGAATGCCAGGTGGGTGTGAAGGCCCACCTGTAATTTCAGCACTAGATGGTAGAGAGGATCCCCAGAGGGACCTGGCTAGCCATCTAGCCACATTGACCAGCTCTGGGTTCAACTGAGAGACCTTGTCTTGGGAAAGGGGGTGGAGAGCAACTGAAGAGGACTCACAACATCAGCCTCTCAATACACACACACACACACACACACACACACACCAGACATACACATATACATGACACACAGGATAGACACACATGGCACCACACACACATGACAGACATACATATGACAGACACACAAGACACACACATGTATGACACAGACACAGGACACAGACACAAGACATGCATACATGACACACACAAGATAGACACATGACAGACATACACATATGACAGACAGACACACATGACAGACACCCATACGAAAGACATACATGATAGGCACACATACATGACATGCACATACATGACACACACATACATACATTAGATACATACAGATAAGTTGTGGTGGGAGAGCATGGTGTTCTATGCCCATGATCCCAACACTTAGAAGATAGAACTGTCAAATCAGGAGTTGAAAGTCAACCTAAGTTACATAGAAAGCTTGAGACCAGCCTGAGCTACCTGAGACTAGGTCTCAAAATGAACAAAGAAGGGGCATGGGAGCTGGAGAGATAGTTCAGCAGTTAAGAACTCTTGCTGCCCTTGCAGAGGACCCGAGTTCAGTTCCCAGCACCCACATCAGGTGGCTCACAACCACCTGTAACTCCAGCTCCAGTGGATCCAAAGCCTGACTTCCACAGATGTCTGCAGTTACATGCCCATATCCACATGCAAACACAAACACCTACACATAGCAAAAATAAAAATATTTAAAATAAGTAAATTAGGGGCATGGGGTGATGGCCTGGTTGGCAAAGTACTTACAACGTAAGTCTGAGGACCTCAGGTCAGATCCTCAGCACCCATGTAAAAGCTAGGTGTGGCTGCACCAGTCTGTAACCACAACTTTTGGGAGGCAGAGACACACAGATCCCTGGAGCTCATTGGCCAGCCAGTCTAATTGATTCAGTGATCTCCAGGTTTGGTGAGAGACTCTGTCTCAAAAATTAAGATGGAGAGCAGTTGAGGAGCACACCTAACATTAACCTCTATCCTCTACATACACACGCACGCACGCACATGAGCACACACATGCACATGAGCACACACATGCACATATGCACACATACACATAACCACATAAACACCTCCTCCACACACATTAAATATATCAAAATAAAGTTTGCTCCCTGTGCAATAAGGAAGCCAGTTAACCAGGTGAAGGTGGAGACCATCTCAGTGATTCTGGGAAAAACAGGAGAAAGCACTAAACTGTTTAGAAAAGCCAGAGTGAGTATATTAGAGAAATAAGGTATGTTTGCCAAGTAGTTTTCTGGAGCCACGAGGGGTTAATGATTATTTAAGCAGAGACCAGGCAGCAAGTTCAAACACTTTCCCGAAGTTGTATTCAGCCTGCAGAATAGAGAGAGAAAACTGTACTTAAGCTGAGCTGTGGTCAGCCAAGGTAGTTCAAAGCCGGAAAAAGTGAGCAGGAAGTGTGAGAAAAGTGTGAGGAAGGGGTGGGTTATAACCCTTGTCCCTGGAACTCATGCTGGGCTGCATGGGGAGAATGGAGCAACTGAAACATTGTGGAAAGGTTATTTTGTTTTTTTTTCCCAGGGTCTGAGGAATGCCTAGAGGGAAGATGGAGTCACAGTAAGAGAACAAGAGAATAAATTGGAGCCCAGCTGGAGAGGTGGCTCAGTGGTTGGTGGCATGTACAGCTTTCTAGGATTGCAGCTGGACCAGTACCCATGTCTGCTCCCCCCACCTGCAACTCCAGCTCCTCCAGTCTCTGTGGGCACCTGCACACACATGCACATACCTCACACAGTCACATACACACAATTCAGTCACTGCTTTTCATAGCACATGATTGTATTGTTACAAATATCAATATATTTTTGATTTGCTACATTCCTTTCCCCAAATAATATCTTTTGTCTCAGAGTCAGTTTTTGTTTATGCTTCTCTCTTTTGGTTTGCATTTTATTCCTTCATTTTAATGAGTTCTATCATTTTAAGTATAGGTAATGTATTACTTCTTGTGTGTGGTGCCATTATAAGCAAATGCCTACCAGTGAGCTATAACTCCATCCTCTTCTCTAGGTTTTTATTCTGATGTTGTTTACTATTTTGTTGTTCTGAGCAAAGGAACTTGCTTTGAGCAGAGGCTGACCTTGAGTTTGGGACTCTCCTGCCCCTGTCCCCCACAACTGGGACTACAGGTGCACAATGCCATCCCACCCTTCCTTGGTTCTTTATGATTGTTTCTGGTTCATTGCTAATACTTTATTTCTTTGGGGACACTTGTATGGTTTGTGCTCTATTATACTTGTCACTTGCAATATGTTATTCAGCTTGCTATCTTTCTGGTTGTCTTGTTATTCTTCTCTGTGACATCATTTTCTCTCAAGGGTATCAGCTGTCTTGATGGGAAACAGATGGAGAAGGTGGGGGGAATAGAAGCTCAGGTCCTATTGCTGATGAGCTAGAGGTCAACTCTGAAGACCCTCATTTATATTACCGTACCTCCTATTGAGACTTATCTTTGACTCTCTCCCGAAGCATGTATTTGTTTCGCTGGTGTAATAAATAGAAAAGGACTCAACTCAAAATTTCTCCTCAGATCTAGTCCCATGTATGAAGCCTGGCTGTCTTTTGTACCTCCCCACCTTGGCCCTCTTGAAGCTTTCCCTTTTTATGTGTATGATGCGTGTGTTGTATGCACACACATGTGTGTGCTGGTACATATGCCTCTGGGCACACATGTGAAGACCAGAAGAGACATAGATGTGCAGTGTTTCCCGCTGTCTGTCCGCACCTTAGTTTCTGAATCAGGGTCTCTCGTTTATCCTGAAACTCGCTATCTGGCCAGACTGGCTGCTCAGTGAGCTCCTGGGACCATCATTTCTTCACTCTGCTCCCCAGTTCTGTGCCTGCCAATCATGTGAACACTGGGGATTTGAACTCAGGTCCTCTTGCTTTCACAGCAAGCACTCTTGCCTACTGAGTCACCTCCCAGACCTACTTCTTATATTTGGGCATAGATTTGGGGTATTGACTATTATCTTTATGTCAGGAGCCCATAATGTCCTTGTCATGGTTCAGCCTCTCCCCAGAGTTTAGTGAAGCTGTGTTTCCAGTGACATAGAACAGAAATTATTTCTTTTTTTGTGGAGGGGGCGGGTTTCGAAGCAGGGTTTCCCTGTGGCTTTGGAGGCTGTTCTGGAACTAGCTCTTGTAGACCAGGCTGGTCTTGAACTCAAAGAGATCCACCTGCCTCTGCCTCCCAAATGCTGGGATTAAAGGCATGTGCCACCACAGCCCTGCCAGAAATTACCTCTTTCTCTTAAGTTTTTATGTTGCTTATTTTTGGCTACATTAGTGTTTTGCCTGTATGTTTGTGTGGGTACCATGTGAGTGCGCAAGACAGTCAGAAGGAGATACCATATCCCCTGGAATTTGGGATCTAGAGTTGTAGGTAGTTGTGAGCCACTGTATTCTCAAATAGCCACCAAATAGTACTCAGCAAATAGAGAGAGCAAGATGTACCCGGGAGCACTGAGCCATTGCTCCTGCCCCACCCCGTCTCTCAACAGGTTCTGATGTAGCACAGAGTAGCCATGAGCTTGATATGTACCAAGGATGACTGTAGACTTCTGATGATTCTCCTGTCTCTGCCCACAATTATGGAAGGGCACAGCCTTGCTGGATTTTATGTGCTTCTGGAGATGGAGCTCAGTGCTTTGTATCTGCTGAGTAAGCACTCCACCAATGGAGCTGCCACTCTGATCTCTTTTGGGTTTTTGCCAGGCAAGTGATGTACCACTGAACCAAATCTACCTTAATCTTTAAAATAAATTTTTTTTTTGGTTTTTCGAGACAGGGTTTCTCTGTATTGTTTTGGAGGCTGTCCTGGAACTGGCTCTATAGACCAGGCCGGCCTTGAACTCACAGAGATCCGCCTGCCTCTGTCTCCCAAGTGCTGGGATTAAATGCATGAGCCACCAATTCCCAGCTAAAATTTTTTAAATTTATTTTGTTATATGGATATAAGTGTTTTGCTTGTATGAGTGTACCTTGTGAATACCTGGGGCCTGTGGAAGCCAAAAGCCATTGAATTCCCTAGAATTGGAGTTATGGGTGCTTATGAGCCACCAAGTGACAGCCAAAAATTGAATACTAACTAGGGGTCCACTGTAAGAGCAACAAATACTCCTGCCTTTTTTTTTTTTTTTTTTTTTGTGGACATGGGTTCAGTACCCTGACTAGCCTTGAACTTAATAAATAGACAAGATTGACTTTGAACTCCTGGCCCTCTTGCTATTATCTCTAAAGTACTATGCTTAGATTTAGATAAGTTCTTTTTTGTTTGTTTGTTTGTTTGTTTTGATTTTTCAAGACAGTGTTTCTCTGTGTAACAGCCCCGGCTGTCCTGGAACTCATTCTGTAGACCAGGCTGGCCTTGAACTCACAGAGATACATCTGTGTTTGCCTCCTGAGTGCTGAAACTAAAGGCATGCATCACCACTCCCCAGCTAGACAATGTTCTTAAGGTATACAGGCAGCACAGAAAGCAAAGAGTAGACAAAGCAATTTATATCCACAAAAGACAGAAACTTGTCTTTAGCTTTGTAGTCACTTGGGAATCTTCTTACACCTGGAAAGAAGACAAGATAATTAGTTACATTATATTACAATGATATTACAGTCTTTTTGTTTGTTTGTTTGTTTGTTTGGTTGTTGAGATAGGATTTCTCTGTGGCTTTGGAGGCTGTCCTGGAACTAGCTCTTATAGACCAGGCTGGTCTCAAACACACTGCCTCTGCCTCCCAAGTGCTGGGATTAAAGGCATGTGCCACCACCGCCACCACTACCACCACCACCACCCGGCTTACAAAGTTTTAAGCAATGTTACAAATGGTCTTAAACACATTCATAGGAATAGAGGTGTGTGGTGTGTCATAGATAAAATAAGTGCAGAGCTCATAAGATAAACCAGGAAAACCAAGACGTGATCCATTATGTTGAAGTTACATTAAGGAGGCTAACTTAATGTGTCACTGGAGGAGTCACATCCAGGAGGAACAGGGCTTGATATTAGCTTTATTACCTATTGCAGATGCTATTATACCTAAAGCCAAAACATGGCTAAAGCCTTGACAGTGGTCATCACTTCAGGGAATGGACTTGCCAACATTTTCCAAAATTCTATCAGAAAGAAACTATTATTCTAATAACATTACCACGGGAAAACAATCAGATAAACACTGAAACATGTACACGAGTATTTGGTGCAGAATAATTTGTGATGTTGGAAAATACCTTAATTTCTGTCAGAATGGTTCAATAAGTAACTAAGATTATATCTATGCAATGTAAGTCATATAACCAATAAAATGAGGATGTGTGTTTATATTTAATTTTTAAGTTATGGGCCAGGCAGTGATGGCACATACCTTTAATCCCAGCACTTGGGAGGCAGAGGCAGGCAGATCTCTGAGTTTGAAGCCAGGATAGCCAGGACTAGACAGAGAAATGTTGTCTCAAACAACAAAACAAAAAATGAAACAAGTCGGGTGTTGGTGGCACATGCCTTTAATCCCAGCACTCGGGAGGTAGAGGCAGGCAGATCTCTGTGAGTTCGAGGCCAACCTGGTGTACAGAGTGAGTTCCAGGACAACCTCCAAAACAATACAGAGAAACCGTGTCTCGAAATATCACAGAAAAAGTGCTCCTTGTGAGTGTGCTTTGAAACAGAAAAATCTGTGCGCATGCCTGTGTGTGACCATAAGTAATTGCTACAAGCTAGGCATGGTGGCTCACTCCTACTATTCCAGCATTTGAGAGGTTAGCAGGTTTCAGGACAGCCTGGACTACTGAATAAGACCCTGTTTTGAAACTCACAACACACAAAAAATAAAAGCGAGTGCTTCTGTCTAACAGGTGAAAAACTGAAAAGATGAATAGAGATCTGAGAAAGAAATGAGGAGGCCACAGGACAAGCTGCCATCTCCTACAGTGGAGAGATGGAAATGCAGATACGGGCAAATCACAGCTTAATAGAAAGAAATCACTGGGCACCAGGGCAGGGAGAGGGAAACCTGAGCTGTGACTGAGGGATGAGATAGAATCTCCAGGGGGCCAGGACACAATGCTACCTTCTCTGTCTTAGCGCTGCCAAGGGGAGGGTAAAAACAGACATTTAAAATGAGCCAGGGCACGGTTCTTAACAAGGTCTGGCCCCAGAAGAGCTGTTTGACCAGAGCATAGGCCGCCTGAGGGAGAGGTCGTCCCAAACTTCAGCTTCCTCTAGTCTCCTGTCCCGTCTAAGTGGAGAAACAAAACCAAACCCCAAACTGGGAAGCATGAAGAAGTTCACAGTTTGGGGTGCGGCTCAGGACCTGCCTCACCACCACAACGGATGGCGTCTTCCCTGGCGTTTCTTTCGCTTGCCACATCACGTCTGCACTTTGACCAAAAAAATAATTACACTTCAAAAAGTCAGACTGCTGTTTGAAGAGACTGGTGCATTGGACATGGCAGGGGTTAGGCCAGAAAACAATCTTCTTTTTCTCCTTCATTTTAATTTTTGTTTGTTTTCTTGACACAGGATCTTACATTGCTCAGGATTGCCTCAAGCTCTCTATGTAGCTGAAACTGGCCTTGAACTCTGGATCCTCCTGCCTATACCTACTAAAGCTGCAGTTCTCAACCCGTGGGTTATGACCTCCTCTCCCCTCCGTCTCCTTTTCATCTCCTCTCCTCCCCTCTCCTCTTCCTCTCCTCTCCTCTCCTCTCCCCTCCCATCCCCTCCCTTACTCTCCTCTCTTCTCTTCCCGTCCCCTCTTTCCCCACTGCTGGGTCTTACTATGTTATCTTGGAACTCATGACCCTCAGTCTCTTGAGTGTTTGGAACACATGTGAGAGGCACCAGGTACAGCTCAGACCAGAAAGTTAAAACAACTAGGATTATTGTCAGGGTTTTGCAGGGATGGGAGACCCTCTCTCCATATAAACAAACAAAAGCTAATGAAGAAGAATGCATGTTTGTGTCTTGTTTGTAAACACTTAGCTCTTCTATCTTCATGCCTGAAGTCAACACACATGGACAACATTGCCAAGTTCAACTGCCAGCTGGGGTTGGACTCCCACTCTCTTGAAACCCATTAGCAGCAACTTTTTGATTCTGTTGCTTTCCAGGCAGAAAACTCTCTCTCTCTCTCTCTCTCTCTCTCTCTCTCTCTCTCTCTCTCTCTCTCTCTCTCTCTCTCTCTCTCTCTCTCTCTCTCTCTCTCTCTCTGTCTCTCTGTCTCTGTCTGTCTGTCTGTCTGTCTGTCTCTCTCTCTCCCTCCCCCCTTTCTCTTTCTCTCTTTGGTTTTTCAAGACAGGGTTTCTCTGTGTAGTGTTGGAGCCTGTCCTGGAACTCACTCTGTAGACCAGGCTGGCCATGAACTCACAGAGATCCGCCTGCCTCTGTCTCCTGAGGGCTGGGATTAAAGGTGTGCGCCACCACCGCCCGGCTCAGAGCAAATATTCTTTAGCTCATAGTTTTAGAAGGTTAGTCCATCAGGGCCAGGAGGGAGTGGCAAAATACTGGAGCTCACATCGTAATGACCCAGGAAGCAGGGGTAAAGGGATGCTGAGGATGGTCTGTGGGGACCTCCACTGAGTGGGGGGGTCTTTCCTCATCAAATTTTTTCTGGCAATGCCTCACACACAGACACATCCAAAGATGAGCCTCACCACCTCCTAGGGTATTCTAAAATCAAGACTGGCTGGCCTTGAACTTACTATGTATCAAAGGATGGCTTGTGTGCTGATCCTGCTGCGCCCACCCCTAAATAATGGAACTATGGGCATGTGTCATCATGTCTAACTGACTCCTTTTCTTCACATATGTGTTCTTTAACATATATGTGTACTCTGAATACACACACATGTCTTTGTCATAGATATGATCTGATTTTGCTTTTTAAAAGTTTAAAATTTTTTGTGTGTGTGATATGTGGAGCTAGAGTCTGATGATCAGGTGTCTTCGTTGATCACTCCCCTGATAGGAGATGTCCTTTTGAATTCTGTGAATATATGTTTATCTTATTGGTTGATGAATAAAGCTGTTTCAGCCAATGGACAAGCAGGATGTAGCCAGGCAGTGCTACCAGACTAAGAGAATTCTGGGAGAGGGATGCAGAGAGTGAGTTTCAAGAGATGCCATGTAGCTACCAGGAAGGTAGGACACCCAGGCGTTCTCCAGTAAGATAAGGCCATTTGAAGATACACAGATTGATAGCTATGGGTTAATAATTAAGAGAGAACTAGCCAATAAGAAGCCTGAACTGTCAGCCAAACAGTTTATAATTAATATAAGCTGTAGGGGGAGGTCTACCTACCCATAGTGCTGACCACGCCTGTTTGGGTGTGTTCACAGGTATACAGCACAGTATGGGGGGATAAAAAGAGCTAAGGGGAGGAGACTCTCTCTCTTTGGGCTCCGGTTGCAGCCTGAAGAGCAGCATGGGGACCTTTGGTTCTTGGATTCTCACGTAAGTTATTTCTCTCTCAATAAAATATCAGGACATCCATATTTTGTGTAGCTTAATATTTCTGCATTAATAAGCCTCTGTGTGTTTATTTGGGGCTAAAAAGCTGTGGGACCGGATGGGACAGAAACTTTCCTCAGCGTCTAATTTGACCCAACATCTCTCACTGAGCCTGGAGCTCAGCAATTCATAGACTGGCTGGCCAAAGTGTTCCAGAGATCTGCCTATCTCCTCACCCCCCCCCCATGCTAGGGTTACAAACATGTGGTGCCATGCCCAGCTTTTTTTTAATGTATACTAGAGACCCAAGCTAGGTTGTCAATTCCCTTTATTTTTTTGTCAAAACAATCTAATATCAATGTAGATTATACATCTTTTTAGACTTGTAAGTCATATATTTAGATGTGTCTTTCACCAGGACTGGTCGGCACTCATATCTTGTGGTGGTTTGCTTGTTTGTTTGGTTTGGTTTTCTTGTTTTTTGAAACAGGGTTTCTCTGTATTGTTTTGGAGGCTGTCCTGGAACTCCCTCTGTAGACCAGGCTGGTCTTGAACTCACAGAGATCTGCCTACCTCTGCCTTCCAAGTGCTGGGATTAAACACATGCACCACCAACACCCAGCTGATCTGTGTTTTTATATTGCATACATTATTTAATTTATTATTGTTATTGTTCTTGCCATGCTGTAGACAGAACCCCAGGCCCAGGGCACATCAGTAAGCACTCTGCCATTGAGATACATCTCCAGCTTTGTATTAGAGAATCTTTTTTTCTTTCCCAGCACTGAGGGTTGAATCCAGGGCCTCACATATGCCGGGCAAGCGCTCCATCCCTCACTGTGTCGTTTTGTTTTCTGGAGCCAAGGTCTTGCCTTGAGCCCAGACTGGTGTTGAACTCATGCAAATTCTCCTGCCTCAACTTCCCAAATGCTGGGGTTATAGGAGTGATACCCAGGGTTAAATGTCTTATTTCATGGTGACTGCCATCTGAACTTTAGGACCTGGATGTCACCAAAACAAATTAAACTCCCATGGGGTAATATTTGTTTATGATCTAACAAAGCTTGCCTGAAGATCAGAGTGCAAAGCTAGTCATACTAGTAATCCATAGAGGCCAGGCACACACCTTTAATCCCAGCACCCGGGAGACAGAGGCAGACAGATCTCTGAATTCAAGGCCACACTGACCTACATGAAATTGAGTCTAAAAGAGAAACAGAGCTCAAGAGCTCACACAAAGGTGATCTCAGCACTTGGGATCCCATGCGTTTAATCCCAGCACTAGAGAGGAATGTAAGGAGGGGGGAAACAGGAGCACAGTGAGTCTGAGAAGCAGTGCAGTTGGCAGCAGTCTGGATCACCTCCTTCAGTCTGAACAGTGGTAGAGGTAAGAACCCGTTAGTGGCTGGCCTTCTCTGATCTTCAGCTTTAACCCCAATATCTGTCTCTGGGTTTTTATTATTAATAGCACTAGAATTGGTGTTACACTCCTCTATGAACTACTTTAGGGAAAGAAGTTCAATTTTCTGAATTTTTCATTTAGAATGTTAAATGATTCTCTGTCTTGAAAAGGATAATGCAAACTCCAAAATGCCTCACTTTCACTGGGAAGTTTCCTAGGGTTTACATGGGAATGTGATTCAACAGAATTCAAACTATGGAGCCATGTGAGTGCCTCACCCCTACTCTGCACAAGTCACCAGTGTGCAGAGTTTTCTGTCTGTTTGTTTTTTGAGATAAGGTCTCATCTTGTAGTCCTGGCTGTCCTAGAACTTGCTTTGTAGACCAGACTGGCCTCAAACTCAGAGATCCTCCTGCCTCTGTACCCCAAGTGTTGGGATCAAAGTTGTGCACCATCACTCTTGGCTCCATTGTGTTGCCCAGGGCTTGTCTCAAAATCATGGGCTCAGTTGACCTTACCACTTCAATCCCCCAGTAGCTGGAGAAGCAGGCAGATACCACCAGCTGCATTTAAGGTAGTGTTATTGAATCATAACGTGAAAACAGCATCCCCCATGCTTTGCCTGGTACCAGCAGCAGCAAATCAGAGGACAGAATTCTAAGCTGATCTCCCTCCCTAGCATCGTTATGCTTCCAGTATAACTATTTGTTTTACATTAAAAGATGACATCTGTAGGTTTATAAAGAGAAGCATTGACCAATGTTGAATTTGTTTGGACTATTTTGTGAGTCTAAACTAAACTCACATCAAATACTTACTTTGATAATTCCTCAGTGCTACAGAGAAAGTCAAGTTAGGAAGACAAAAGATAATACAAAGACCTGGTAACCAGAGTACCCAAACCTTTACTCACTGTGACCGAATGGAAGCAAGAGATTTTCTGAAGGTCCACTGAATGTCTAACTGCAGCAGCCTGGGAATATCCGGGTACCCACCCAGCTGGGCCCACAGTGTGTTCAAGGATTTCTTCTCTGTTATTGGGTAGCTTGAAGTAGACAAGTCAGCATTCCAGATGGCCTCTGTCTGAGCTTCCTGTCTGTAGAGTCAAAGGGCATGAGGTATAGGATGAAACTCCCTTGAACTCTACAACCCAGTGAGACACACGTCTATGCCCCAGGGAGACTTAGTTGTAACCACTGGACAGGGACAAGGGAAAAAAGGATTTGCTGATGTAGTTACCAAAACTCCACTGTGACCTAGTCATCCATTTTCAAACTACCTTCTTGGCCTCCTAAAGTACATAGGCCATGTATCTTTTCCCTCCAAAGCTTTTGCCTTTCTTTAAAAAGAGATAGCCGGCTGGTGGTGGCGTACGTCTTTAATCCCAGCACTCAGGAGGCAGAGGCAGATGGATCTCAGTGAGTTCAAGCCAGCCTGGTCTATAGAGTGCATTCCAGGACAGGCTCCAAAGCTACACAGAGAAGCCGTGTCTCACAAAACCAAAAACAAACAAACAAAACAAAAACAAAAAAACCCTTTATTTTATTAAGAGAAAGAGGGGTGGAGGAGAGGGAGAGATGGTGGGGAGAGGATAACTCTATAGTATTATTGTTGTTTCTTTCCCCCTCTGTGTGGGTCCTGGAGCTTGAGCTTAGACCGAAAGGCATGCCCAGTGAGCACACTTATCTGCTAAGTTATCTTGCTTCATTTTTAAAAGAGGAACTCAAAATTAAATGCTAAATATTTAAGTAGAAATATATGTAAACAAACCTTGCTAAGCCAGGCATGATGGCAATAGCTTTAATTCCAGCACTCGGGAGACAGAGGCAGGTGGATCTCTGTGCGATTCAGGCCAGTTAGGACTACACAGTGAGACCCTGTCACAAAACAAACAAAACAATACACCTTGACGAATTGACTAAGGGAATAAGTATACCCACACTCTTCGTGTGCCATCTCATAACTGTGGGGAAAGGAAAGCTCTTGGGTAGAACTAAAAAAAATGTTTTTGGTGATTTGTTTTGTTTTGGTTTGGTTTTTCGAGACAGGGTTTTTCTGTATTGTTTTGGAGGCTGTCCTGTAACTCACTTTGTAGACCAAGCTGGCCTCGAACTCACAGAGATCTGCCTGCCTCTGCCTCCCAAGTCCTGGGATTAAAGGCGTGTGCCACCACCACCTGGCAGAATTAAAATATTTTTAATTAAAATAAAGCATCGGGTACCACTTGTCACCGAAAGTTTAATATTGTTCTACTACATACCCGAATGTTTTGAAAATGTCCGGTTTTTTGCTGTCTTCAACCAATAATTCCAAGCCTGGCCTTTGAAATTTGGTAAAATCAGGTATCTTCTTAAAGCTGGAGACCACTGGCGTAGGATGGCTAAGATTTACTTTAAATACTTTTTCAAACTAGAAACAAAGCCAACAATAAAAGCAAGTTAATAGATACAGAAGAAAAAGTACAGCATCATTTCTCAGCCTTTTGGACAAAGTAAAGTGTGAAAAAGAGAGTCAGGAAAAGCCAGAAACGTTAGGAAGGTCTGCCTTGCTTTGGACAGCAGCAGAGCTCCATGCCCACACCCACAATTACTTTTGGAGGATAGGGAGCTGAAACCACGGCCTGAAACTCTATGTACGTAGCTCAGCCTGGCCTTGTACTTACTGTCGGCTTCTCCACCCTGACCAGAGCCTTCTCCTTTCACCATTCCCTTCTTTGTTCCTTGACACCTATATGTCACACCTGGATTCTGACTTCCCTGACTCTAGCCCAATGGTTTTCAACTTTCCTAATACTGCTACCCTTTAATACAGCTCCTCGTGTTGTGGTAATACCCAACCATAAAATTATTTTCATTTCTACTTTATAACTATAATGTTGCTACTGTTATGAATCATAATGTAGATATCTGCATTTTTCAATGGTCTAAGGTGACCAATGCATGCTGGGTGTTAGTGGCACATGCCATTAATCTCAGTGCTCAGAAGGTCCAGAGGCAGGTGGATCTCTGTGAGTTCGAGGTCAGCCATGTTGTGATATTTTGTTTGTCATCTAATAAATAAAGCTTGCCTGAAGGTCAGAGTGCTGAACTAAGCCACTAGTTAGCCACAGAGGACAGGCAGTGGTGGCAACACCTTTAATCCCAGCACTCTGGAGACAGAGCCAGATATATCTCTGTGAGTTCAAGGCCAGCCTGGGCTAGATCACTACCAGGAGATGGTGATGCAGTGACCCCAGCACTTGTGATGACACGCCTTTAATCCCAGCACTAGGGAGGACTATAAGACAGGCGCTCAATTCGGTCTTGGGGCAGTCTGGGGTTTGGTGGAGAGCATTGCAGTTTGCAGGCACCCTGAGGACAGGATCACCCCTCCTTTGGTCTTAGCTTTGGTAGAGGTAAGTACTCTCCAGTGGCTTGGCCGCTTTGCTTTCCTCACCTTCCACTTGAGCCCCAATATCTGTCTCAGGGTTTTTATTACTCATGCTACACAGCCTGGTCTACACAGTGGGTTCCAGGGCAGCCAGAGTTGCATAGGAGAGAGATCACGACAACAGGGCGACCCTGGCTTTGTTTTGCGCTGGGAGGCAGGTGTGGGGGGTGTTACCTCGCTGAAGAACTGTGTCATGGACCGCAGGCACTCCTTCCGCCTCTGCTCCAGCTGCTTCTGCTTGTCGCTCCAGAGCCACATCACCTTCTTCCTGTAGTTGTCTAGTCTGTCCAGCATGACGTACAGGTTCTGGGTCTCGTACCCTTTCCCGGTATTTTGGATGTTTTTTAATCGTTTGGTTAAGTTGTTCCTTGAAAAAAAAGAAATCAAGAATTAGATCCATACAGTTCCCAAACCTACCTTGGAAAAAGCCTGACTTCCGTTTCTTTCCATTCCCATCTCATCCTGAGTTACTAGGACGTGTGAGAGGGGGCAAGGGACTTGTTCAATGAGACCTTTATCTAATCCACAGGTAAAAGTAAATTTCTGAGCCAGGAGGTGGTGGTGCTCACCTTTACTCCCAGCACTCAGGAGGCAGAGGCAGGTGGATATCTGTGAGCTTGAGGCCAGCCTGGTCTACAGAGTGAGTCCAGGACAACCAGGGCTGTTACAGAGAAACTATGTCTAGAAAAAAACGAAATTTTGTAATGCTGGGTAGGGATGGAACCCAGGGTCTGACACATGCTGCCCATGTGTTCTACCACTGAGCTAAGCCTCAGACCAATTATCACTATTTTTAAACATAGTTCTAGAGATACTATGATAGGGGAATGTCCTTCTGTATATGTTTCTCTTATTGGTTGATGAATAAAACACTGTTTGGTCAATAGCTGTTGGGGAAGTCCTGTGTATATGTCAATAAATTACTGCTGGCCAATAGGAATCTAGATAGGTGGGGCTAGGAGTCCAGGAGGACTCTGGGAAGGAGAAACACAGAGAGTCAACATGTAACGCCATGGGGGTAGGAAGCCTGGAACTATTCTCCGGTAAGAGACATACTTAGATTAACAATTATGGGGTAATTACTTAAGTCAGAGCTAGCTAGTAAGAAACAAGGAAGGCCAACAGCTTCATAATTAATATAGCCTCCTGTGTGTTTATTTGGGACTGATGCGGCTCTAGAACCAGGTTGGCGGGAAAGCGGCTCTGGAACCAGGCTGGCAGGAAGGCATCTCTCAAGAAAAAGCTTCTCGTAACAAAATGGTGATCAGGAGTGGGATGATGAATTTCCACGTAGAATGACAAAAGCTTTAAAGGAATTTTAGAAACAGAAAAACAGAGAGAAGCACAGATTTTTGATAGCAGCATTTTTCTCAGGTGTTTTGCTAGCGACAAGCCGAGATTCACGTGGCTCGCTTACGGGAGTCTTCCTGACTCGGCATAAAAAGAAAAAAAAAACCAGCAAGGTTGTTTTAAGAGACTCTGCTAACGATTGAAAGGTGTGTACGTACAGCTGGAAGTGGCAGCTTTTGCTGGATGTCAGCATGGACTGAGGCGGTAAGCTGGAATCTCGCTTACACCCGCCATCTTGAAACGGCAGTTTAAAACAGCCTCGGGTTTACAGATAAGACACGTGGCCAGAAAAACGTAAAGGTTTACAGTAAAGTCAGACTTGGATGAACAAAACCTCTAAAGGTTTACAGTGTGTTTAAAAATATACATGAGATTGAGAGAGAAAATGAAACGGCAAAGTGGTATATAAATACAAAAGCCGGCGTTGTGATGGTACACGCTGGTAGGATTTACTCCAGAGGCAGAGGCAGGCAGATTTCCAAAGAGAAACCCTGTCTCAGAGAAAAATAAATAAAAGTAAAATAAATAAAGTAATAATAGATAAATAAATAAGCCACGTAAAGATGGAAAATACACAGAGAGTCTGGATACTGTACGCTATTGTGTTTTTCAGTTTTTTGCTTGCTCAGGAAGGAACTGCTACTAAAGTACACTTGATTATAAATGCTGCTGAATTAATTCAACTTATATCTTTTGAAAATGCCTTGACTTCAAAATTTAAATATAAGGATATGTTACTTGGAAAAGGAGATTTTGCTTATGTTTCTACAGAAAATGAAAAGCTGAGGATTCCTTCCAGGCTTCTGTGGTTTAATGAACCAAGACCCCCGGAAGCAGTGGACCAGGTGTTCCAACTATTGAGACAGCTAAGATGATGCAGCTTTACAGACCCCGAAAATACGGACTTATACAGGTTTCTGAGTTTTGTCATGATCCCCATGGTAAGAACAGCGCCCCCTTCCAGCAGGAAGCAGTTTGGAATGAGTGACGTCCCAATTCCCATCTTGTTTATAAATCTTTGTTTTCATTTAAATGGGATTGTTTATAATTGGCTAGTGATGACAGCCAATCTTTTTTAATGGTAAAAAAGGGAATTATGGTATGGGTATTGTTTTTCATTTATTGATATAAATTCAAGGTCAATTTTGTGATATGTATATTTCTCCTCTTGATTAAGTATTGTGCTTATACTGATCTTTTAAAACGTAATGCATAAATTGAATACAGACTATAGTTACTTATAATAGTCAGAATTTATAGTTAGGTAAGTTAGGTTTTCTAGATATACAGAAATATATTTGAGATAGATAAACAGTCTTCAAACCTCTCAAAGACCTTCAGAAAATGGCATTTAAAATGGTTTAGGGTTTTTCTTGACAATGAGAAATGTCTGCTCCTGGCAGCACCAATTATGTCTGAGAGGAAGATGGGCATTGAAGAGACTCATTATGGAGTTTGCTTTCAACATGGCAAGATTAGCCATTTGGGCAAGAAACTGCTCTTGCCTAGACTGTTTGACTGTTGCTGTATAAACTGGACATGCAGGACCCACAGGAAATGAATGCTGAACTCAGTCTTACAGGGTTCCTGTTTCATGGAAGAGTCTATGAGACTGTCTGCAGGACAAAGAAAAATGACTGACAGACTGCCAACACAGATGGACAGTTTGAAATTTCCTGCTTTGCTGAGAAGTGTTCCAGACACATTGTGGCCTATGGGCTGAAGATGGATGCCCCAATGTTACAGAGGAACTTCGGGTGACTGTCCAGGCAGTAAGATATCGCTGTCAATCCTAGTGTTTATATATTATCCTTCTGTGGTCTTTGATGGAGTTGAAGACAGATAGTTATAGTTACAGTTTTCCTTAGTTATGATAAAAGATAAGCTACATATAGGACTTTGGACTCACAAGGATGGGATGGATGATATTTTCTTTAGATCTTGCTAAATGTTAATAGACAAAATGTTGTAACTGCGTTCTTACTTGATAACTGTTCTGTCATATACAATTTGACTATGTTAAAGTTAAGACCTTTCTTTTTGTTTAAACAGAAAAGAGGAATTGTTGGGGAAGTCCTGTGTATATGTCAATAAATTACTGCTGGCCAATAGGAATCTAGATAGGTGGGGCTAGGAGTCCAGGAGGACTCTGGGAAGGAGAAACACAGAGAGTCAACATGTAACGCCATTGGGATAGGAGCCCGGAACTATTCTCCGGTAAGAGACATACTTAGATTAACAATTATGGGGTAATTACTTAAAGCAGAGCTAGCCAGTAAGAGACAAGCAAGGCCAACAGCTTCATAATTAATATAGCCTCCTGTGTGTTTATTTGGGACTGATGCGGCTCTAGAACCAGGCAGGTGGAAAGGCTTCTCTCAAGGAAAAAGGTTCTCTTAACAAATAGCCAACAGAGTCAGGAAGACAGGTGGGACTAGGAGATGAGGAGAATTCTGGAAAAGGTAGGCAGAAAGGTGCAGCATACAGACGCCATGTAGTAGAGGAAGGAGTAACAGGTCTGGACCCTTCTCCCATAAGATAAGACCACATGCAAATACTTAGATTAATAGAAATGGGTTAATGATTAAGACATAGTTAGTCAATAAGAAGCCCTAGCCATCGGCCAACAGTTTATAATTAATATAGTGTCCTTGTGTTTATTTGGGGCAAGGCAGCTCTGAGACCAGGCTAACCAATTCATAGGCAAGACACAAAAATCGGATGTTTAAAATTAGAAAATCTTTGGGGCTGGAGAGATTGCTCACTGGTTCGAGCACCTGCTGCCCTTGCAGAGGACCTGGGTTCAATTCCCAACACCCACATGGTATCTCACAACTCTTTGTAATTCCAATTCCAAGGGATCCAATGCCCACTTCTAACCTCCACAGGTACCAGGTATGCACACAGTGCAGACATATGTAATCAAAACACTTACTCACACATATAAATGAACAATAGATAAAAATGTAAAAATATTATGTATTATACTTGGAAGAGAAAATTTTATTTTTAGTGAAGATAATCAAGGTTTTAGTGTTTTGATAACTACCAAATCTCACACTCTCCTACAATTCCAGCTACTTTTAGAAGGATGTTCTGTGTTTTCCTTCTGGGTTTTTTAGTCCTATGGAAGGGTCAGGCAGATCCCTACACCAGGCACCTCCGTCAGCAGGCAAGACACCCTTTATGCACTCACATCGGTAATGAGGACTCAGGCATTACCCTAAACCATTCTTTTCCTTACCCATAAGTTCAAGGCATTTTGTTTCTTTGTTTAAGACTGGGTCTTACTATGTTGACCAGGCTGGTCCCAAACTCTTGTGTTAGCTTCTGAAGAGCTGGGATTACAAATGTGTATCATTTGTAGAAACCTACTATTAGAAGCCTGGATTGTGACAATGAAGCTTTAAAATAAAATTTAAAAAAACTCAGTACACACACACACAAAGAGGAGGGGCATGAGGAAGGAGGAGTTGTCCTATGACAGCAGCAGCTCAGTTTAGTGACATATGCCTGTAATCCCAGCATTTAACCTCAGTCTCAGCTGCTTGGGAAGCTAAAGCAGTAAGCTGCAAGCTTGAGGCTCGCTTGGTCAATTTAGAAAGACCCTGTCTCAAAATACTAAAGAAGGGGCTGGGGCGATGATGGCTCAGTGGCTAAGAGCACTCTAGCACATGACCTGGGTTTGATTCCCAGTACCCGCATGGCAGCTCACAACCACCTGTCACTCTGGTTGCAGGGAATCCAATGTCTTCTTCTGAGCTCTGTGGTCACCAGGCATGCACATGGGACAAGGATGTAAATGCAAGCAAAACATGCGTACTCACAGAATAAATTAAAGTTGGAGGAACGGAAGGGCTGGGATGTTAATGTGATGGCAGACAACACTAGCTTAGTCTTAACAAAATAAAACTACATAGTGAGTGTGTGTCATTCTGATGAGACCTTGTCTCAGCAACAACAACAAAAAAAACTCAAAGAATTTATAGTAGATGTACATTGGAATTCCCTCAGTAGATTAGGTGGATTATATTTTACAAGTAGAGACCAAGTAACTAGGCAGGAAAAAAACAAACAAACCTGAGACACAGATCTCATAGTTGAAAGGTGTGAGTCAAAGACTTGTGTGCAAGGAAAACAACTGAGAAAGGTTTTTTTTGTTTTTTTGTTTTTTTGTTTTTTGTTTTTTTGAGGCAGGGTCTCCTGGCTGGCCTGGAACTCACTATGTAGACCAGCCTGGCTTCCAACCTAGTTCTACTTGATTTTGCACCCCAGGTGCTTGAATTAAAGGCATATACCACCACACCAGACCCCTACTTTTTTTTTTCAAGACAGGGTTTCTCTGTGGCTTTGGGGCTGTCCTGGAACTAACTCTTGTAGACCAGGCTGGTCTCGAACTCACAGAGATCCACCTGCTTCTGCCTCCCGAGTGCTGGGATTAAAGGCGTGCGCCACCACTGCCCCAGACACATAATTTTAATTAATTGATTGACTGATTAACTTAGAGAAAAATCTCATGTAGTCCAGGATGGCCTTGAACTCACTAAGTAGCTGACAATTGCCCTTGAATTCCTGGTCCTACTTCCTCTACCTCTAAAGCGGTTGTAACGGCAGGTGTAGACCACCAAGCCTGACCTTTTCTGATATTAAAAAATCAGGGCCAACAATAAAGTTGTTATGTTAAGCCGGGCGTTGGTGGTGCACGCCTTTAATCCCATTACCCGGGAGGCAGAGGCAGGCGGATCTGTCTGAGTTCGAGGCCAGCCTGGTCTACAGAGCTAGTTCCAGGACAGCCTCCAAAACAATACAGAGAAACCCTGTCTCAAAAAAAAAAAGTTGTTATGTTAACACCTTGTCTATAACCTGCCATTTCCCACTTCAGAATTTAAGCAGAGTTGAGTCTGATGGCCCATGTCTGTATTCCCACTCAACTGGAGGCTGAGGCAAAAAGGTTGAGAGTTGGAGGCCAGCCTGGGCTACACAGTGAATTTCAGGTCAGTGTGGGCTTCAGGGTGAGCCTTATCTCAAAAACAAAACAGAATAAATAGGTAAAACAGGCCAGGCATGCAGTGCATACCTGTAATCCCAGTATTGGTAGAGTATTGACAGGGAAATGGGTCATCCATGCCAGCCTAGTGTGAAGATTTCATGAGAGATGTAGTCTCAAGAGAATATGTGTAGGGTGACATAGGAAGACATCTGGACTCCCATGTCCTCTAGTTTCCCCGTGTAACACATATACATACTCTACCACACACAACCTCTAAGTCCTGAATGCTAAACATACACACTCCTTCTGCCTCCAGTTCCCAAGTAGTGGAATTATAAACCCGTGCCATCAAAGCTGATTTCCTTTTATGGTCTTAAACCTCCACCCTGCAGATCCTTAATGAGAAAATGTCTACAGCATGTGATGTGGGGCTGGAAAGATGGCTCAGTGGTTAAGAGTGGTGGCTGCTCTTCCAGATGACCTGGGTTTAATTCCTAGCACTCACACACTCACATTGTAGCTCACAACTGACTAACTCCAGCATCTTCTTTGAGTACAGGCACATGCACACACACACACACACACACACACACACACACACAGTACAGATATGCATGAAAACAAAATACCCATACACATAAAATGAAAACTAAAACAAATTAGAGCATGTGGCCTGACAAACATGAATATTCTAGGCAGTGATGGAAGGTGTTCGACATCAGGACTAAACCAGAAAATTCTATGTATTGGGCATTGGTGGCACACACCTTTAATGCCAGCAATCAGGAGGCAGAGGCAGGCGGATCTCTGGGAGTTCAAGACCAGCCTGGTCTACAGAGCGAGTTCCAGGACAGCCTCCAAAACAATACAGAGAAACCCTGTCTCAAAAAAACAAAACAAAAACAAAAAATAATTATATTTACCTGGCAAGCTGGATCAGCCTATAGGCAACATACTTTCGGAACAGATACCCCAGGCGCACTGTATTCATATGAAGTGATTCAATTATGAGATTCCTGGCAATTGTGTGGTACTGTGCAGGGAGTCTAGCAGTTTGCACAGCCTGATTTAATATAACCAGGTTCTTCCTTTGAGCCTCCACATCAACAACGTATCTGTCTTCAGGGTGCTGGGCAGTGAGAGGGGACTCCATGGTCTTGGCTTTCCTGGTGCCAGAAACTGGGGTTAGTATCCAGGGCACGTCTATAGGAGGGAACTGTGGTTTTTGGCCACTTTCAAAAGATAAGTTCTGTGATGTCTGGGAGAGTTGAATGGTAAGAGACGGTAGCGGTGTAATAGGCTTCTCCAGACCAGAAGGTACTTTCTCACCAATGAGATGGGACTTCGACCCTGGTATCCTGGAACCAGTGACATAAGGCTGGAACATTCCATGTGGTTTCATGCCAGAAGAACCTTGGAGTACCCGAGTTTTTTCTGAAGTGTCAGAAACCTTTGATACTCGGAGCTTCTCCATAGGCAAAGGAGCCTGAGGGACTTCAAAGGCCAGAACAGCATTTGGGTGAATGCTGGCCAATTCAGGTTTTGGCAGGGAAACAGCTCCTGACCTTTTCTGAGAGACCGAAGAGGAAGAGATTCTCTGAGGTCTCCCAGGGACTGGTTGGGCCTCTGCTGTGGACAGATGCGCTAGGATTGGAGTTGCTCTTGAAGGGAATTCTTTTTGCTCAGGAATGGTCAGTGATGGCCTTTGCTGTTCAGGGGTAGAGTAGGTCTGCATGACTGGAGGCTGGAAAGGGAAGGTTCTGGATATTAGGAACTCCCTGGGGACAGTAGAACCTCCAGAAACAAGGAGTCCTGGAAACTCTCCAGAGGTGTGTGGGACTCCAGATACAGGCGGTGGTGTTGGCTTTCTGTGGGAAGAGAGGGTTCCTGGTATTAGAGGTGGCCAAGTGTCTTCAGGTTTGAATAAATGCCAAGGACCAAGGGGTGGCCCTGGAGTGGAAGGAGCCCCAGGTGTTGGGAGCTGCCTTGGGGTAGGAGGGACTTCTGGTGTTGGGAGCTGAATGGGAGTGACTTGACCTCTGTTGGCTGGAATCCGTTTGTAGGTAGGAGAGATGCCTGCTTCTTCAAGCTTCTCAGAGTCGGGAAGAATACTCATTCCTGGGATCATCCTAGGGGAAAGTGGGGCATGGCTAAAAGGTCTTACTTTCTGCAATGGTATAGATGGAGGAAAATCCTTCAATTGTTGAAATAATCTGTCAGCAGGAGCCAATGTCTCAGGCTTTTCCAAGGTAAGAGGAATTTGAAACGCTTGAGTTGGCTGATAATCAACGATTCTTGGTGATGCTTCTTGAACATTTTCTGGTGTGGTTAAACGCCCCCATTTCCAGGCCAGTTCTGCAGTGAGCGCATTTTCTAATGCTGCCACCTGCTCACAGGTGAGGGTGATAGCTGCTGCCTGAATTTGCTCCTGGGTAAAAGTAACACCAAAATTCTGTGCTTTCTCAAGTGTGATAGTGAATATTAATGTTTGTGTCTCTCCTGGACCAAGCTGGCCCAACGGCAGGGTCTGTATTTGTGTGAGGGGAGGTTGCAATGCCTGAACTTGCTCAGATGCCTGGGTCTGCCCTGGTGTGAGAGTGATTCCCAGAGCCTTGCCCGGTCTCTGTGGAAACGGAAATCCAAATATCTGTGACCATTGCATAGTTTGTGGGATTTCAATTGTCTGGGTCTGTTTAGAAGCAACAGTTGGCTTAGGTGTTTGCATAGATTCTGGGATAATAGGGGTTTTCTGGGTCTGAAATGACTCTTTAATAGGACCACCCCTTAGCAATTCTGCCTGTTCATAGGTTAATGAGGCATCCAAATCCTGGAGTTTCTTAGAAGGAAGACTATCCCGTTTCTGTAACTGTGAAGGAGTGGAAATGATCCCCAGGGCTTCAGCCTGCTCTGGTGTGAGAGTGATCCCCAGAGCCTCAGCTTGCTCCAGGGTCAGCCTGATGCTCTGGACCTTCGCTTGCTCAGGGGTGAGAGTGATGCCCAGGGCCTGGGCCTGCTCAGGGGTCACACTGATCTTCCATGCCTTGACCTGCTCAGAGGTGAAAGTGACTCCCAGGACCTGGGCCTGCTCAGGGGTTAGACAGATCTTCTGTACCTTCACTTGTCTAGGGGTGAGAGTGATGCCCAGGTCCCAGGCCTGTTGTGGGCTGAGAGAGAACTCTAATGTGTGGGGGGTTTGCTCAGGGGTGGGACTGATCTCCAGTGCCTGGTCCTGCTCAGGGGTAAGAGTGATTGTCAAGGATTCAGCCTGCTGAGGGATAGGAGCTATGCCCAGGGCCTGGGCCTGCTCAGGGGACAGTGTGATTCCTAGGGCCTCAGCCTGCTGAGGGGTCAGACTGACCCTCTGTGCTCGGGTCTGCTCAAGGGTAAGAGTGATCCCTAGGGCCTGCACCTGATAAGGGGTCAGATTGATTTTCATGGCCTTGGCTTGCTCAGGTGTAAGAGTGATGCCCAGTGCTTGGGCCTGCTGAGGGGTGAGATAGATCTTCTTTATCAGGGCCTGCTGAGGGGTGAGTGTGAGTCCCAGGGCCTGGGCCTCCTCGGGACTGAGGCTGATCTCATGTGGTTGAGCTTGTTTGGGAGTGGGAGTCATCCCCAGGGCCTCAACCTGCTCAGGAGTCAGGCTGACCCTTTGCTCCTTGCCTGGCTCAGGAGAAAGAGTGACTCCCAAGGCTTCAGTCTGCTGAGGGGCAGGAGCTATGCCCAGGGCCTGGGCCTGCTCACGGGACAGTGTGATTCCTAGGGCCTCAGCCTGCTGAGGGGTCAGACTGACCCTCTGTGCTCGGGTCTGCTCAACGGTAAGAGTGATCCCTAGGGCCTGCACCTGATAAGGGGTCAGATTGATTTTCGTGGCCTTGGCTTGCTCAGGTGTAAGAGTGATGCCCAGTGCTTGAGCCTGCTGAGGGGTGAGATAGATCTTCTTTATCAGGGCCTGCTGAGGGGTGAGTGTGAGTCCCAAGGCCTGGGCCTCCTCAGAACTGAGGCTGATCTCATGTGGTTGAGCTTGTTTGGGAGTGAGAGTCATCCCCAGGGCCTCAACCTGCTCAGGAGTCAGGCTGACCCTTTGCTCCTTGCCTGGCCCAGGGGAAAGAGTGATTCCCAAGGCTTCAGTCTGCTGAGGGGTAGGAGCTATGCCCAGGGCCTGGGCCTGCTCAGGAGACAGTGTGATTCCTAGGGCCTCAGCCTGCTGAAGGGTCAGACTGACCCTCTGTGCTTGGGTCTGCTCAAGGGTAAGAGTGATCCCTAGGGCCTGCACCTGATAAGGGGTCAGATTGATTTTCGTGGCCTTGGCTTGCTCAGGTGTAAGAGTGATGCCCAGTGCTTGAGCCTGCTGAGGGGTGAGATAGATCTTCTTTATCAGGGCCTGCTGAGGGGTGAGTGTGAGTCCCAAGGCCTGGGCCTCCTCAGGACTGAGGCTGATCTCATGTGGTTGAGCTTGTTTGGGAGTGAGAGTCATCCCCAGGGCCTCAACCTGCTCAGGAGTCAGGCTGACCCTTTGCTTCTTGCCTGGCCCAGGAGAAAGAGTGACTCCCAAGGCTTCAGTCTGCAGAGGGGTAGGAGCTATGCCCAGGGCCTGGGCCTGCTCAGGAGACAGTGTGATTCCTAGGGCCTCAGCCTGCTGAAGGGTCAGACTGACCCTCTGTGCTTGGGTCTGCTCAAGGGTAAGAGTGATCCCTAGGGCCTGCACCTGATAAGGGGTCAGATTGATTTTCATGGCCTTGGCTTGCTCAGGTGTAAGAGTGATGCCCAGTGCTTGGGCCTGCTGAGGGGTGAGATAGATCTTCTTTATCAGGGCCTGCTGAGGGGTGAGTGTGAGTCCCAGGGCCTGGGCCTCCTCGGGACTGAGGCTGATCTCATGTGGTTGAGCTTGTTTGGGAGTGGGAGTCATCCCCAGGGCCTCAACCTGCTCAGGAGTCAGGCTGACCCTTTGCTCTTTGCCTGGCTCGGGAGAAAGAGTGACTCCCAAGGCTTCCGTCTGCTGAGGGGCAGGAGCTATGCCCAGGGCCTGGGCCTGCTCAGGAGACAGTGTGATTCCTAGGGCCTCAGCCTGCTGAAGGGTCAGACTGACCCTCTGTGCTTGGGTCTGCTCAAGGGTAAGAGTGATCCCTAGGGCCTGCACCTGATAAGGGGTCAGATTGATTTTCATGGCCTTGGCTTGCTCAGGTGTAAGAGTGATGCCCAGTGCTTGAGCCTGCTGAGGGGTGAGATAGATCTTCTTTATCAGGGCCTGCTGAGGGGTGAGTGTGAGTCCCAGGGCCTGAGCCTCCTCGGAACTGAGGCTGATCTCATGTAGTTGAGCTTGTTTGGGAGTGGGAGTCATCCCCAGGGCCTCAACCTGCTCAGGAGTCAGGCTGACCCTTTGCTCCTTGTCTGGCTCAGGAGAAAGAGTGATTCCCAAGGCTTCAGTCTGCTGAGGGATAGGAGCTATGCCCAGGGCCTGGGCCTGCTCAGGAGACAGTGTGATTCCTAGGGCCTCAGCCTGCTGAGGGGTCAGACTGACCCTCTGTGCTCGGGCCTGCTCAAGGCTAAGAGTGATCCCTAGGGTCTGCATCTGATAAGGGGTCAGATTGATTTTCGTGGCCTTGGCTTGCTCAGGTGTAAGAGTGATGCCCAGTGCTTGAGCCTGCTGAGGGATGAGATAGATCTTCTTTATCAGGGCCTGCTGAGGGGTGAGTGTGAATCCCAGGGCCTGGGCCTCCTCAGGACTGAGGCTGATCTCATGTGGTTGAGCTTGTTTGGGAGTGGGAGTCATCCCCAGGGCCTCAACCTGCTCAGGAGTCAGGCTGACCCTTTGCTCCTTGTCTGGCTCAGGAGAAAGAGTGATTCCCAAGGCTTCAGTCTGCTGAGGGATAGGAGCTATGCCCAGGGCCTGGGCCTGCTCAGGAGACAGTGTGATTCCTAGGGCCTCAGCCTGCTGAGGGGTCAGACTGACCCTCTGTGCTCGGGCCTGCTCAAGGCTAAGAGTGATCCCTAGGGTCTGCATCTGATAAGGGGTCAGATTGATTTTCGTGGCCTTGGCTTGCTCAGGTGTAAGAGTGATGCCCAGTGCTTGAGCCTGCTGAGGGATGAGATAGATCTTCTTTATCAGGGCCTGCTGAGGGGTGAGTGTGAATCCCAGGGCCTGGGCCTCCTCAGAACTGAGGCTGATCTCATGTGGTTGAGCTTGTTTGGGAGTGGGAGTCATCCCCAGGGCCTCAACCTGCTCAGGAGTCAGGCTGACCCTTTGCTTCTTGCCTGGCCCAGGAGAAAGAATGACTCCCAAGGCTTCAGTCTGCTGAGGGGTAGGAGCTATGCCCAGGGCCTGGGCCTGCTCAGGAGACAGTGTGATTCCTAGGGCCTCAGCCTGCTGAAGGGTCAGACTGACCCTCTGTGCTTGGGTCTGCTCAAGGGTAAGAGTGATCCCTAGGGCCTGCACCTGATAAGGGGTCAGATTGATTTTCATGGCCTTGGCTTGCTCAGGTGTAAGAGTGATGCCCAGTGCTTGGGCCTGCTGAGGGATGAGATAGATCTTCTTTATCAGGGCCTGCTGAGGGGTGAGTGTGAGTCCCAGGGCCTGGGCCTCCTCAGGACTGAGGCTGATCTCATGTGGTTGAGCTTGTTTGGGAGTGAGAGTCATCCCCAGGGCCTCAACCTGCTCAGGAGTCAGGCTGACCCTTTGCTCTTTGCCTGGCCCAGGAGAAAGAGTGACTCCCAAGGCTTCAGTCTGCAGAGGGGTAGGAGCTATGCCCAGGGCCTGGGCCTGCTCAGGAGACAGTGTGATTCCTAGGGCCTCAGCCTGCTGAGGGGTCAGACTGACCCTCTGTGCTCGGGCCTGCTCAAGGGTAAGAGTGATCCCTAGGGTCTGCATCTGATAAGGGGTCAGATTGATTTTCGTGGCCTTGGCTTGCTCAGGTGTAAGAGTGATGCCCAGTGCTTGGGCCTGCTGAGGGGTGAGATAGATCTTCTTTATCAGGGCCTGCTGAGGGGTGAGTGTGAGTCCCAGGGCCTGGGCCTCCTCGGAACTGAGGCTGATCTCATGTGGTTGAGCTTGTTTGGGAGTGGGAGTCATCCCCAGGGCCTCAACCTGCTCAGGAGTCAGGCTGACCCTTTGCTTCTTGCCTGGCCCGGGAGAAAGAATGACTCCCAAGGCTTCAGTCTGCTGAGGGGTAGGAGCTATGCCCAGGGCCTGGGCCTGCTCAGGGGACAGTGTGATTCCTAGGGCCTCAGCCTGCTGAGGGGTCAGACTGACCCTCTGTGCTCGGGTCTGCTCAAGGGTAAGAGTGATCCCTAGGGCCTGCACCTGATAAGGGGTCAGATTGATTTTCATGGCCTTGGCTTGCTCAGGTGTAAGAGTGATGCCCAGTGCTTGGGCCTGCTGAGGGGTGAGATAGATCTTCTTTATCAGGGCCTGCTGAGGGGTGAGTGTGAGTCCCAGGGCCTGGGCCTCCTCGGAACTGAGGCTGATCTCATGTAGTTGAGCTTGTTTGGGAGTGAGAGTCATCCCCAGGGCCTCATCCTGATCAGGGGTAAGAGCGATCCCCAGGGCCTGGGCCTGTTCAGGGGTCAGACTGACCCTCTGAGTCTTGACCTGCTGCGGGGTGAGAGTGAGCCCCAGGGCCTGGGCCTGCTCAGGGGTGAGAATAATCCCCTGTGCTTGGGCCTGCTCTGGGGTGAGAGCCATCCCCAGGGCCCATCCTTGCTGAGGGGTCAGACTGATCCCCTGAACCTTGATCTGCTGAGGGGTGGGAACAATCCCCAGGTCCTGGGCTTCCTCTAGGGTGATAGTTGTCTGCTGTGCTTCGGCCTGCTGAGGGGTGAGTGTTATCCCCAGGGTCTTGGCCTGCTCAGGGGTGAGATTACTTCTTTGTGCTTGGGCCTGCTGAGGGGTAAGAGACACCCCTGGGACCTGGGCTTGTTGAGGGATCAGACTGACTCTCTGTGCCTTGGCTTGCTCAGGAGTGAGAGTGAGCCCCAGGGCCTGGGCCTGCTGAGGGGTGAGAGTAAGCCCTAGGTCCTGGGCCTGCTGAGGGGTCAGACTGATCCTTTGTTCCTTGGTCTGCTCAGGAGTGAGAGTGATGCCCAGGGCCTGGGCCTGCTGAGGGGTCAGACTGATCTTCCTGGCCTTGGCCTGCTCAGGAGCGAGAGTGATGCCCAGGGCCTGGGCCTGCTGAGGATTTAGCATGATCCTTGGTTCCTTGACTGGCTCAGGAGTGGGGGTGATCCCTTGATCTAGGACCTGTTGAGAGGTGAGAGTAATGTCTTTTACTTGAATCTGCTGTAGAGGTAGAACTGTTTTTTGGGTAACTGTGGCCCCAGATATCTGTACTTGTTCAGCGGTAGTTTGGGGAATTTGCATTGCCTCTGGTTTTTCCGATGTGAGAGACCTTCTCGGAGTTACTGTCTGCTCAAAGATCTTAGAATCTTTGAGCTGAGTCCCTAATTTTTGCTCCTCTGTCCCGTGTTCATGAATAAGAGGACCACGCAAAGCCTGTATCTGCTCAAGGGTTAAGGACGCCATTGACATCTGAGACACTTCAGGACCCCTTATCTGGGCCTGTTCAGGGACAGGCTTTGGGAGGGGCTTTGCAGAAACAAGGAGGGTCCTGGAAGAGGCGGCCTGCTTTTCATCAAAGCTCTCCATCTCATAAGGATCCACTTGGAATAACTGTACTTGACTTATCTGAGGTTTCAGGACTTTCATCCACCTGGGCGTCAGCACCACCGCAGACTGGGTGAACGTCATCTTCAGGTCATAAGGCTTTGACTCGGTCTTCACCAATTGTTTTGATTTGCTCCCTTTCGGCCTCTGACCATCTTCTGCTTCCCTCATTGCCTTCAACCTCTCCCTGTCAGTCTCCTCCCTTATCCACAGCTCCTGAGCCTGTCTCCACTCCTCCAGCTTTTGAAGTCTTTGCTCTTCCCTCCAGGCCTCCTCTTCCTGCTTTTGTTGCTCTTGCCTTTCATCCTTCACCCTGTCCCTGTCACTCTCTAGTTCATCTAAGAGCGCCTGTACTAGTTTCCTAATCACTGGGTCTGTCACCTCACTTAAGTTGCTAATTTCAGGCTTGGTACTGATCGATGCCCGCTTAGGAAACAGATGTGGTGTGACAGAGGACAACTTTCGTTTGCCAGATATCTCTCTAAATTGTCCCCTTTTTGCATCTTTGTATGTCCTCAAGGTTTTAGTCACAGCTTCAGCCACTTTTTGGAAATATTCCTCCATTTTTTCCTTTATGGTGTTTAAGTTTTCAACTTCTGCTCTCCCTAATAACTCCTCCTCCTCCTGTATACTCTTTGGATCAATTGCCTTCCCTACATTACTCATTTTCTCTCTTAGGAAAGCCAATATGGCTCTTTGAAATGATTCCAGATCACTTTGTTCACTCTTGTCATCAGGACTTACTGAAGTCTGTTTAGGGACCCTGGGTGATAATTTACCACGTTGTTTTGTGGTGCCTGGCATTTCTTCAACTTTTCCTGGCACGTATTTTTTCCCTTTTGATTCTGTTTTGTATGGCTCTGGAGTACTCTCAGGCTGGGTTGTCTTGGGTAGTTCTACTTGAGTCTTGGCTTCTTTTTCGATCGGCCTCACAGTGGGCTCGATTTTAGCCTCTGAGATTGGGCTTCTCCCAACGGAGTGCTCCGATCTGCCTCTCTTGGGCCACATGCCGCTTGTTCTGGCCCTGACCTCTGGGCCCTTTGATTTGCGGTCTTTTCTCCTCTGGTCCAGTGCTTGTGAATCAGAAAATTGACTAGACTTCATCTCCAGGGTTCTCTTTTCCTCCTTATCCAGATTTGTGTCAGAAGACTCATCTGGCTGTGGGCTTGGGAGGAGCTGATTTTTCTGGTCGTGATGAGCCTTATCTTCAGTTTGGGGCTTAGCCGTGGCTGGAGCCGGTTCATCTTGGGCTATGTATTCCATAGTCGAGTCCCACTTTACTGTGGTGGCTCTGGTCCCCTTCTTCTTGGGCTCATCCATAGTCTTTTCAAGCTCTTTGCTTAAAAGATCGTCAATATCCTCTGGTTCTGAATCTTTGCCTACGGGTGGCTGTGGAGACGTCGCAGATAATGCTCGCAAGGGCGTAGTTGGGGGCAAGAGTTGGCGCCCTAGAAAATTTTTGATTCGAATAAGTTGGTCGCACTTTTCTTCGGCTTCTTTAAGTTTCTGTTGAAGCATGTCATTTTCCTCACTGAGTTCTTGGAAGGCCTTCTGTAAGACGCCTTTTTCTATTTCTTGTTCTTGTTCTTCACCCACAGCTACGTTGGTAATATGAGAGCTCAAAAGTTTCATTTCCTCATTGACTGTGTTCAGGGCTGTGGAGAGGTTCAGCACTGTTGCTGATATGTATTTAATGGCATTGTTTTCCAATTTGCTGAACATGGCTGTGTTGATGAGTTCCTGGAGCATGTCTTGTATCTCTGAGACCTTAGTATTCAATGCAAGTTGGTCAAAAATCATCTGATCTGGTCTTAAAGCGTGGGCTGTGGCCGGCCGCTTTACAACACGTTCCTTCCAAGCTTTCCAGAGAGTACCTCTAGCCACTGGAAGAAAAACATTAAAAACAAAACAATAGATTTACATTTCTTCTTTTATATTGTACTGTGCCCATGTTTAAGCCTAAGAAACTTAGCCTCAACTAGTGAATGCACGCAGGATAAACATTCATGAGCATTGGATTTTGTAGTCATTAACCAAAGGTGAGATACCTACAATCTCACCTTAGCATAGATAATGACTAAATACTCAAGGGAGAAGAGACAAACTTCCAATGCACAAAAATGGAAAATAACATGTAGATACTATACAAGAGCAGCAGCTGTGCTCTCCTTGCTTATAGGCTTTGTATATAGACTTCCTGCCAAAGATTACTTCCCCCAAAAGAAAGGGTATAAGCAGACATCTCCTATCCTGACCACCTGCTCCCCAACCAGGCAGAGGCTCTGTAAGTGCTCTGCCAATAGGTCAGGCTTATTACTATCTCCTACATTTCAAAATAACCCATATTCCTTATTTACACTCTGCCACGTGGCAGTGCATTTATTAACACGACATTCCTGCTCCCTCTGGGTGACTCCTTGACTCTGCCCTTCCTCCCAGAATTCTCTCTGTGTCAGGCTGTCTACCCCCATCTCTTCCTGCCTAGCTATTGGCCAGTCAGCTTTTTATTAACAATGAGAGCAGTATTATTTACAGTGTGCAAGCATTATTCCACAGCAGATGTGGGGGAAGTAATAACATTTTTTTAGGGCAAGGTCTCCTGAGTGGCCTAGAACTAGGAGTGTAGACCTAGTTGGCCTCAAACTCACAGAGATCTGCCTGCCTCTACCTCCAGAGTGCTAGATTAAAGGCATTCACCACCACCACCCGGCATGTGCCACTACGCACAGCTGTACTTTAGGTTCAGTACAGACTCTGATTCAAAAATTAAAGCTTGGCCGGGCGTTGGTGGCGCATGCATTTAATGCCAGCACTCGGGAGGCAGAGGCAGGCAGATCTGAGTTCGAGGCCAGCCTGGTCTACAAGAGCTAGTTCCAGGACAGCCTCAAAAGCCTCAGAGAAACCCTGCCTCAAAAATAAAAAAAAAAAAAAAAAAAAACAAAAACTAAAGCTTGTCAAATCAATGATACCGTCTGGCCAGCAAGTCCAAAGGACCCACCTATTTCTTCGTCCCCAGCTCCTAGATGACAGATGCCCTTGGCTGCACTCTAAGTACTCTAGCCCCTAAGAGGAGGCTAAGCAGATGTGACAACACAAGGTAGTGTGGCGCTCACAACCAGAACAGAAAGGGGTAGTAGGTGAGGCCCATGGAGGTCTGAATATATTATGCAATTTAGTTAATAATGTGCCAGGGTTGGTTTTTTTCCTTTCCTTTTTGGTTCTTTGAGGTGGGGTCAAACTTGCTGTGTAGTCAAGGCTGGCCATGAACTCTAGATTCCCTTGCCTTTACCTCTCAAATTACTGAATTACAAGTGTGAGCAACCATACCTGGCTTCAACTTTGGCTTCTTAAATATAACAAGTGTACATACTAATGTGAGGTATGTATGCTTTCAAAAGGTTGTCCTAGTCAGGATTTCTATTGCTTCGATGAAACGCTATTACCAAAAGCAAGCTGGAGAGGGAAGGGTTTATTTGGCTTACAATTCCACATCATAGTCCATCATGGAAGTAAGTCAGGACAGGAACTCAAATAAGGCTGGAACCTGGAGGCCGGAGGTGATGAAAAGGCCCTGGAGGGTGCTGCTTACTGGTTTGCTCAACCTGCTTTCCTATAGAACTGAGTTCTACCAGCCTAGAGATGGCACCACCCATAATGGGCTGAACCCTCCCCCATTTAATTACCAATTAAGAAATGCCTTTACAGTTGGATCCTTTTGTTTTGCTTTTAAGAAGCCCTCTCTCTGCTTAGTCTTGGCTGTCTTGGAACTCACTCTGTAGATCATCAGGTTGGCCTCCAGCCCACAATGATCTGCCTGGCCTTACAGCTGGATCTCATGACACATTCTCTCAACAGAGGCTCCCTCCCTCCTCTCTGATGACTCAAGCTTGTGTCAAGTTTGATATAAAACTAGCCAGTACAAAGATTTAACTGTGTGTGTGTATACATGTATGTGAGCCCCATGGAGAACTGGACTTATACACAGTTGTGACCAAGTGGTTGCTGGTAATCAAACTGGGTTCTCTGGAAGATCGGGTAATGCTCTCAACCACGGAACCATCCATGGGCCCACTAATTTAAGATACTAATAAGAGAAAACTATAGAGATGTACACCAGAACTCTGTTGTTCCTCCCCCCCCCCCCTCAAAACCTAAAACTGCTCTAAAAAAAAAAGTCAAGTTCATTTAAAAGTAAAGGTGGCTGATAATGAGCTATGGGTGGCAGATGGGATGCACTCATTTAATCCCAGCACCTGGGAGGGCAAGGGCAGGTGGATCTCATTGCTTGAGTTTCAGCACAGACAGGGGTGGGGTGGGCTGGAGAGATAGCTCAATGGTTAAGAGTACTGCATGCTCTTCCAGAGGACCCAGAATTTGATTCCCTGTGCCCACATGGCAGCTTTTAACCTTTTGTAACTCTAGTTCCAGGGGATTCGATGGCCTCTTCTGGCCTCCACAGGCACTGCATACACACGATGCACAAAAGTATATGCGGGCTGGGCTGTGGTGGCGCACGCCTTTAATCCCAGCACTCGGGAGGCAGAAGCAGGCGGATCTCTGTGAGTTCGAGGCCAGCCTGGTCAACAGAACTTGTTCCAGGACAGCCTCCAAAGCCACAGAGAAACCCTGTTTTTAAAAACCAAAAAAAAAAAAAAATGCGGGCAAACACCCATACCCATAAAAAAAAAGTAAATAAATTTAAAAAGAGTAAAAGGTAGTAAGACTTTGCCCATATGACCCAATTGTATTCCCAGAAGCCTCTTGATATTTAGATTTTAATATTAGATATTTAGATTTTTGCCACATGAGTTTGGACCCCACAAATATATACTACCCAGCAAGATAAAGAAATAATTGTAGCTGGGCGGTGGTGGCGCATGCCTTTAATCCCAGCACGCAGAGGCAGAGGCAGAGGCAGGAAGGCAGGAGAATCTCTGAGTTTGAGGTCAGCCTGGTCTACAGAGTGAGTTCCAGGACAGGCTCCAAAGCTACACAGAGAAGCCCTGTCTCTAAAAACAAAGAAACAATAGAAACAAATATTACTTCAAGACCAGCCTGGCCGGGCGGTGGTGGCGCACGCCTTTAATCCCAGCACTCCGGAGGCAGAGGCAGGCGGATCTCTGAGTTCCAGCCCAGCATGGTCTACCTAAGAAGTTCCAGGGCAGCCTAGTCTACGTAGTATTTATTCAGCAAGGAGGTGCCTGCTGCAGTACCTAACAACCTGAGTTCAATTCCCTAGAACCTTCTTTGTGGACAGGAACAGCTGATTCTCACAACTTATCCTCTAACTTCCACGTGTGTCATACACACACGCAAATGAACATAAAATTTAAGCTAGAGTCCAGTATCCCATTTTCAATAATGAATAGAATCACTCCACAGAAAATCAGTAAACTCACAGCAGATTTGTAAACTGTCAATCAGTTCTACCCAGTAATAGTATAATAATCATGTTCCTCTTGTGCACACCTGGGCCATTCTCCAGGGTCAGCCATATGCTAAACCAGAATACAAGTGTTCCTCAAATTTGATGGAATGCATATGCCATGCCTATCATCTATCTGTCCATCTACCTAATGGATTATATGTAGTCTCTTATTGATTATCCTTTTCAAATGATCCTCCTGCCTCTAAAGGCACCACTGTACCTGGCTTGAGACAGTTCTTAGTAGAGTAGTAAAACCATGATTGTCAAAAAGAAAATCTGTGAAGACAAATGGCACTTACCAACATTAAATTCAGTGGGTCTCCAGATATGACAATATGAAGATGAAAAAAATCCTTAGCTTGGGAGAAAATATCCACAAATTCCTTTTCTGATAAAGAGCTTTTATATAATCAGATGTAGTGCCATGTGTGTATAATTCCAGCATTTGGGAGCCTGTGGCAGGATGATCTCAAGTTCAAGATGCTCCAAGCTACATAGCAAGCTCTGGAGCAGCCTGGGCTATGTTGTGAGACATGCTGAAGTGCTATCTCACAACAAAACAAAAAAACTTTTTAATCTCTGTGAGTTCAAGGCCAGCCTGATCTAGAGAGCAAGTTCTAGGATAGGCTGTCTTGAGATAAGCACTCTTGAGGGGGGCTTTTTAAAGGGACATATCCAAAAGACATCAAGAAATAACATTTACTAATGCAGCAGTGATGGTCCCTGTTTTGAACATCATATGGTGTGAAGTTGTAAGGTATTTGTTGAGTAGGTCATCTGAGTGGGTCACTTGCTGCTTAAGACTATTGAGGGAGCTGGATAGATGGCTCAGCGGTTGAGAGCACTGGCTGCTCTTCCAGAGGACCTGAGTTCAATTCCCAGCAACCACATGGTGGCTCATGACCATCTGTAATGAGATCTGGTGCCGTCTTCTGACCTGCAAACATGCATGCAGGCAGAACACTGTATACATAATAAATAAATTTTTTTAAAAACTTGGGAGGCAGAGGCAGGCGGATCTCTCTGAGTTCGAAACCAGCCTGGTCTACAGAGCAAGTTCCAGGACAGCCTCCAAAACAATACAGAGAGACCCTGTCTCAAAAAAAAAAAGACTATTGAGGGCAGACTTGGGGGCTGTGAGGGCACTCCCTTACTTCCTTCAAAACTCCCTGTCCTGGGGCAGGCTGGGCCACTGGTTTCCCCACAGGGAGAGCCAACAACAGCACATCCTGTACCTGAGAACATCTAAAAGTGAATTATCTCCAACAGATACCAATGGGCATCCCATGGTATAAAAACACCTGCAGCGGAAAGGCAAGCTGGAAACTCAAACACGAAGAGAGAACACAGAGAAACTTGGACTTCCTTAGTTGATTTCTGCTTCATGTTGCAAGCCCTGACTGGATGATGCTTCCATGGTCTGTTTGCTTTCCCTTTTGGGGGTGGTAAGAAGGAGATGATGGTGGGAGATGAGACAGGGTCCCACTGTGTAGTCAAGGCCGGCCTGGAGCTTTCTAGAGCAGAGTAGTCTCAGACGTGAGATCCACCTGCCTCGGGCTGGGATTAAAGGCATGGCTAGCACACCTGGGCTTGGTTTGCTCTTCAATCAGGCCACTCCGCTGGATGTTGTAAACTGATGTGTTGCTGTTGGTCCACCTGCTGCTTTTATCTGCCTGCTACTGCTACTCGTTCCTTTAATTTGCTGCATGTCTAGTGAGCTCACTCATTAGAAACTGAAAGCACAGCCATCATAGATCATTTGCCAGACGGTACAAAAAGTAGTATATAGGAATCCCACTCGGAATCCACCATGTACAATTTTAAGTGTAACTAACAAATAAAAGGGGCTGAAGAGAGGGTTTGGTGGCTGAGAGCATTGGTTGCTCTCGTAGAGGTACCAGTTTCAATTCCCAGCATCCACATGGAGCGCTCAGTCATTTTAACTCCAGATCTGGAAGGCTCTGTCGCCCTCTTCTGGCCTACATGGGCATCAAGCATGCATGTGGTGCAGACATACACAAAACATGGCCAGGCACTGGTGGCACACACCTTTAATGCCAGCACTCGGGAGGCAGAGGCAGGTGGATCTCTGAGTTCAAGGCCAGCCTGGTCTACAGAACAAGTTCCAGGACAGCTTCCAAAGCCACAGAAAAATAAAAAGAAAAATTTACAGGAAAATAAAAGATGAACTGGATGTGGTGGCATTTGTGTGCAATCCCAGGACTTTGGAGGTAGCGACAGTAGGATTAGGAGTTCAAGGTTACCCTTACCTACTTAGGAAGTTAAGTCAAAGTCAGCCAGGAATGTGAGACTGTCTCAAAAAAAAAAAAGCAAACAAAAGCTGAGGACATGGGGAGTAAAATAAAAGAAGCAAAAGGACAAGAATTTAATAGGTACTTTCATCAAAGCAGATATAGGAGTGGCTGAGAAGTCCATGCTATTTAGTCTCATTACTTGCTGGGGACGTGAAATGTAAATCGGAAATACCTCTTCACAAGTGCTAGCCTGAGTAATAAAAGAGTAATGAGCATTGAGGATATGGAAGAGCTAGAGCATTCCTACACTACAGACAGAAATGCAAAATAATCAGATTACATGTGGGTTTTTGTTTTGTGAGCCACTTAGAAAACAGATTTGCTATATGATCAGGCAATCTACTTGTCTACAAGTACTGTACATGCATGCAAACTAAAACATGTGCCTCACAGAAACTTCCACATGTATGTTTATAGCATCGGTGCTTAGAAAAGTCAAATGTGATTGGGCAGTAGTGGCACACGCCTTTAATCCCAGCACTCGGGTGCCAGAGGCAGGCGGATCTCAGTGAGTCTGAGATCAGCCTGGTCTAAAAGAGCTAGTTCCAGGACAGCCTCCAAAGCTACAGAGAAACCCTATCTCTCGAAACCCCCCCCAAAAAAAGTCAAATGTGGAAAACATCCAAATATCCCCCAGTTGAACACATCAACCAGATGTGGTACATCTGACAACCACACACAAGGCTCAGCAAAGAGGACCTGGTTACCAGTACGCCCTACAACACTGCTAATGAAGCAGTAGACTACTGGAAGAAGTCAAGCAGGACAGGTCACTCACAGCAGCTAGGTGTAGTCACTCACATCTATGATCCCAGCCTTCAGGATGCTGTAACAGGAGAGAGTTCCAGGCTAGCCTGGATTACATAGCAACACTCTGTCTCAACCAAACCAAAGACCCACATATAATCTGATTGTTTATATAAAGTAGGGAAAAGGTGATGATCACACCATAGCAACACTGTGAATTTATGGAGATAATTGTGCACTTCTCACATGTACCTTTTATGGAATGAAAATTATACTTCAAAATGCCGTATTTTAAATTTTGTTATTTTATGTGTACAAGGGTTTTGTCTGTATATGTGTTTGTGTGCCATGTAAATGCAGTGTCTGAGAGGAAGCCAGAAGAAGGAAGGCTGTTTCCACTGGAACCAGAGCTGCCATCTGGGTGCTGGGAATGGAACCCACGTCCTCCGGAAGACTACCAAGTGCTCTTAACCACTGAGCCATCTCTCCAGCTGCCAATAGAGCTGTAATTTGGTAAAAAGTTAAACCCCACTTCCAAGTATTACAAAGTATACTTACATAGTTTTCTCTTTTGTCTCTTCCTTTCCTCAAAGAGTGCCATGGTAATTTGACACAGATTATTGACATTGCTGTCGATGGCTTTCAGCCCTTCCGGCATCCTTTCCATCTGTGCAACCCAGTGGTGGTATTCCTCAATGTCAATCTCAGCCACCTCAGACAGAACGAAATCTTGACGAGAAAAAGAAAACCATCTTATGGAAGAAGCAAAACTATTATGTTCATGTATAGGCTTATGATATTTGGTAACTATACAACATGGTCCCATTGGAGAATAGAGTGATCCTGTGCTTACTGCTGCCCTGAGCATTTTCTCTATTAAATAATTATACAGGAAGAGAGACCTGGGATAGAAGCCCAAACAGTTAAATCAGCAAGTTAAGAAAATAGTATCCAGGTTTAAAAGCACCGTGTTTGTTTCCCTCATTTGGCCCAGTCTTGTCTCCTACATCTAGTTAGTCCCTCAGCTTCCCCTTATGATTAAACTTCTCCACTCTCTCATTAACTGTCTTGTCTTTCTTCCCTCTGAATCTGTCCAGACACTTACTCCATTCTTCTAGCCAGGACATAAGTTTCATGAGAATCCTTTCTCGGAAATCAATAGTCTTAACATACATATCGATCTTTTCTAAGAAAGCCTTTCTCTTCTTTCTCTGGTTTTCTGTGATGGAACCCTTCTTCCCAAGGAATGAACTGTCCAGAGCATAGCGAGTCATCAGCAGCTCCACTTTGTTCATTGTTTCGATCAGCCGGGAAAGGATATCCTACAAAGAGAAGGGATAACACATTAGTCTGGTGATTTGAATAAAAGTGCCCTCAGAGGTCCATAGGGCGAGGCACTATCGGAGGTGTGGCCCTGTTGGAGGAAGCTCATCCATAGAGGGCTAGCTTTGAGGTCTCAGAAGCTCAATCCAAGCCTAGTATGTCACTCTCTCTTCCTGTTGCCTGTGGATCCAGATGTAGAACTCTTAGCTGCCTCTCCTTCATCTGCCTATGCCACCATACTTCCTGTCATGATGACAATGGATTAAACCTCTGAGCTGTAAGCCAAACCCAAATAAACGTTTTCTTTTATAAGAGTTGCTGTATACCATGTCAAAACAAAGTGTTGCTGGTATGGCTTTACTGAGTCCCAGCTTTTCTCTCACTTAAAAAATGAAAAAAGTCTTAGGTCAAGGCGTGGTGGTTCATGCCTGCAGTCCCAGCACTCAGAAGTTACAAGCAAGAGTTCGAGTCCAGACTAGGCTACATAGGGGTTTTGAGGCCAACTTGGGCTACATGAGACCCTGTCTCAACAACTCTCCAAATAAGGAAACATTTTCTAGCTTCATCATCTAACAAGACTGAAGATCGTTGGATTTTGAGTTGACCTGGGACCAAACTGCAGAAATTTTTTAAAAAAGATTTTATTTCTTTATTACATATACAGTGTTCTACCTACATACTGGAATAGGGTACCAGATTGAATTGTAGATGGTTGTGAGCCACCATGTGGTTGCTGGGAATTGAACTCAGGACCTCTGGAAGAGCAGTCAGTGCTCTTAACCTCTGAGCCATCTCTCCAGCCCCCAAACTGCAGAACTTCTGTTAAAATAGTGTTTGGTGTCACTTAACATCTCTGTACTGCCTCTTCGTTATCTGTAAAGTAAGACTCTACAGGCAAAGTGTAAGTTGCTCCCTTTTTATGGAAGTGGGCATTGAGCCCTGGCCTTGTACATCTTCTGCAGGCACCCTACCAGAAAACCTGTATGTTTGGAATCCCAACACGTGGGAGATGGAGGCAGAAGGATCAGAAGTTAAAGGTCATCCTTGACTACACAGGCAGTTTGAGGCTAGCCTGGGCTACAAAAGACCCTGTCTCAAACAAACAGTGAAAAACTGTAGAAACACAGAATTATCAGAGAGCTGGATGACTAGCCTCTTTTAAAAGGTGTTGAGGGGGCTGGTGAGATGGCTTAACCAGGAAATGGGCTTGTTGCCAAAAGTCAAAGGGAGTTCCATCAGCAGATCCCACCAGTGGCAAGAGAGAACTAACTCCTGAGGGTTATCCTCTGACCTCCACTTGGTGCTGCAGGATGTGAACACTTGAACACACACACAAGCACATGCATGCGCATGCACACTCACATGCACACACCTGTGTCAATTAGTTTGTCGTAAACTTGACACAAGTAGGGTCATCTGGTGGCTAAGTCAGAGTCATCATTGCAGCAATGGAACACCATGACCAAAAGCAAGTTGGGGAGGAAAGGGTTTGTTTCACTCACAGTTCCATAGAACAGTTCATCAAAAGCAGTGAGGGCAGGATCTCACACAGACCAGGAACCAGAGGCAGGAGCGGATGCAGAGGGCACTAAGGGTGCTGCTTACTGGCTTGCTTATAGCACTTTCTTAACTGAGGCTCTCTTCCCCCGTCTCTGATGACTCTAGCTTGTGTCAAGTTGTCATTAAACTATCCAGCTCATCTGGCAAGAGGGAACATCAGTTGAGAAAATGCCCCATCAGACTGGTCTGTAGGCAAGCCTTTGAAGCATTTTCTTGATTAAGCTGGATGTGGGAGGGCCCAGCCCTCTGTGGATGCTCCCACCCCTGAGCAGGTAGTCCTGAGTCATATAAGAAAGCAAACTAGGCAAGCCATGAAAAGCAAGCCAGTAAACAGCTTTCCCGCATGACCTCTGTTTCATTCTTGCCTCCAGGTTCCTGCCTTGGTTTCCTCTGAAAATGTAACCTGAAAGCCAAATAAACTCTTTCCTCCCCAAGTTTCTTTTGGTCATGGTCTTTGTCACAGCAACAGAAAAAGCAACCTAAATTGTACCAATAATAAGGCATTGTTGCCCATGGTATTTAGTGTTGCTACAATAAAGTGAATTTGTATCGGGATCTATTTGTAGCTTTCACATTTACTCAGTTTAACTCATACTTGAAAGTCCACACTCAAAAAAAAAAAAAAAAAGAAAGAAAAGAAAAAGCTAGGCGTGAGCGCACGGTTCAAGGCCATCCTGGTCTACAGAGCCTCCAAAACAATACAAAGAAACCCTGTCTTGAAAAATACAACAAAAAAGTCCACACTTTTTTTTTTTTTTGGTTTTACGAGACAGGGTTTCTCTGTATTGTTTTGGAGGAAAAAGTCTACACTCTTACACACTCACACACTAACACACACCACACATACCACACACTCTTACACACTCACTAGCATACACCATACACTAACACACACTCTCACACACATGCCATATACCACACACTCTCAAACACATATAACACACGAACACACTCATACACCGTAATACACTCATTCACATACCACACACTAACACACTACACACACACCACACACACTAACACATAAAATAACCTAGAATTCATAAAAAAATCCCAAGTGACCTCAAGTATCAGGCTTTGTGTGTGTGTGTGTGTGTGTGTGTGTGTGTGTGTGTGTGTGTGTGTGTGTGTTGAGAGAGTTTCTTCCATGTAGCTTTGGAACCTATCCTGGACTATCCTGGAACTCTGTAGACCAGGCTGGCCTCGAATTGACAGAGATCCACTTGCTTCTGCCTCCTAAATTCTGGGATTAAAGGCATGCGCCACCATCTCCCAGCTTTAATCAGTGTTGAAGACACAGTTGGAGGTTGTCACTTCATGACTGCAGGTTCATTATAGAACCATACAAATCAGGTCCTACCATGAGTGAGACAAGCTAATTACAGCCTGGAATAGAAAGGTCAACAATTAGAATGCACAATCTGATGAATCCAAGACTGCCTGATGGGAAAACCAAAATGGTTTAAGGAAAACAAGTAAATGAATCCAGTGTATAAATTTAACTCAAAATAGATCAAAGACTTAAATGTAAGGTATATATAGATATAAAACTACAAAACAACTGGGTGTTGGTGGCCCATGCCTTTAATCCCAGCACTTGGGAGGCAGAAGCAGGTGGATCTCTGTGAGTTCGAGGCCAGCCTGGTCTACAGAGTGAGTGCTAGGACAGGCTCCAAAGCAATACAGAGAAACCCTGTCTCAAAAAAACAAACAAACAAAAAAAACCCTAGAAAACATGGAGGAAAATTTTTGTTTTCTAGTCTTGTAAACAGGGTTTGTTTGTGTAGCCCTAGCTGTCCTGGAACTCCCTCTGTTGATCAGGGAGCTTCAACCAGAGATCCACCTGTCTCTGCCTCTACCTCCTGATTGCTGGAATTAAAGGTGTGTGCTACCACTGAACAGAATATGGGAAACATCTTACATGCTACTGGTTGTTAGATGCTTGCTAAACCAGGCATAATGGCACAGGACTTTAATCCCAGGCCTTGAGAGGCAGACAGACTGACTATCTTTGTGAGTTTGACACTAGCCTGCTGGTTTACAGAGTGAGATCCAGAACAGCCAGGAGTACATAGAAAGGTCCCACCTCAGAACTAATTAGATAGATAGATAGATAGATAGATAGATAGATAGATAGATAGATAGATGGGTAGGTAGATAGGTAGATAGGTAGGTAGATAGACAATAAATAGATGGATGATAGATGATGGGTAGATGATAGAAAAATCGATGATAGACAAACAGACAGACACTCTCGATGAGACTCAGAGTGGAAAGGTTAAAGTAGAAGGGTAGAAAAGCAAGACAAACCCAGAAATGCACACAGTAATACAATAATGACAAATGAACACTTTCATGACTGATTCCTAGGAAAGTGATATTGGTAAAGGTTACTACATGTTGTGTCTTCAGAGCTTCTCCTTCTCAATGCCCAGTGATGACTACTATGAATTTTATTTTCTCTAGTTTTAGCCCTGTAGTAAGCTGAAATTTTACTTTTACCTACTTTGTCCCCATTATCCAACGATACCAGAATCTAATTTTTGGGAAACTGAAAATCACTATACATGGCAATATTCCATGTAATTCCTTGGGATTGGGATGTAGCCTGGCAGAGTGCTTACACGTGAAGCTCTTGTAATCCCAGCACGTGGGAGATAATGGCAAAATGATTAGAAGTTCAAGGTCATCAGTGGCTACAGAGTGAGTTAGAGGCCAGCCTAGGCTAAATGAGGCCAGTCTGGGTCTACATGAGAACCTGTCTGAAAAAATGGCGAGGGGTGGTTGGAGAGGGTGGGGGGTAGGTAGGATTATTGCTTAATTATTTTTAACACAACCTACTGTGCTCCAATGAGCCCGTCTAAGGAGGTGGCAGGTTCTGTGGACTCTCAAAACTTGTCCACCCTCCATTTCTTTCTCTGTCTCTCACACTAATAACAATAATAACAATAATAATAATAAGATAAAAATTTTTTTGGTTTTTTCGAAACTGGGTTTCTCTGTATTGTTTTGGAGGCTGTCCTGGAACTTGCTCTGTAGACCAGGCTGGCCTTGAACTCCCAGAGATCCGCCTGCCTCTGCCTCCCGAGTGCTGGGATTAAAGGCGTGGGCCACCACTGTCAGGTCTATTATTCTTTTAAAAGATTTATGTACTTTTAGTCTGTGTGCATGAGTGCTTGCTTGTGTAGTTGTATGAGTACCATGGAAGTTCCTGGTATCTGCAGAAGTCAGAAGAGGGTGCTCAGAACCAAGCCTGGCTATAACAAGATAATTTTTATGGTTTTTCAAGACAGGGTTTCTCCGTGTAACAGCCCTGACTGCCCGGGAACTCACTTTGTAGACCAGTCTACCCTTGAACTCACTGTGATCAGCCTGTCTCTGACTCCCAAATACTGGGTTTAAAGGTGTTTGACACCACTGCCTGGCAAGAATATGATAATTTTAAAAGAAAAATATTGTAGCCAAGTATGGTGGCTTGGATAAAAATGGCCCACATAGGCTCATGTATTTAAATGCTTATTCACTTTTCAACAGTGGCACTGTTTCAAAAGGATTAGAAGTATTAAGAGGTGTGGCCTTGCCAGAGGAAGTATGCCACTGGGGAGTAGGCTCTGAGGTTTCAGTCCATGGCAAGCCCAGTCCTTCCCTCCCCTGCCCCCACTCAGAAGACCAGTACATAGCTCTCAGCTATGCACCAGCTCCATGCATTGCCATGGAGATA